CTCGGAGACCACTTCATAGCAGCAGAAGACTACAATGCAAAGCACACACACTGGGGATCTCGACTCGTGACCCCAAAAGGCAAGCAGCTCGATAATGCAATTATCAAAGCTTAGAACAAGCTAGACTATGTTTCTTCTGGCACACCAACATACTGGCCGGCAGACCCAAAGAAACTTCCCGATTTAATAGACTTTGCGATTACCAAAAACATTCCTAAAAATCTGATAAGCGCCGAATGCCTTTCGGATCTTTCATCTGATCACTCGCCTGTCCTTTTACTCTACTCCGACACCCAGGAACATGGGATCTCTAATCAAAACTGACCTCACATAAAACCAATTGGGTTAAGTACAGGAAGTATATCAGCTCACATATTGAGCTGAGTCCTCACCTCAGCGACGAAGCCAACGTAGACAGTTTTGTTAATTCACTGGAGTCTGTACTCGTCTCTGCAGCTCGAGTTTCAACACCTCAAACTACAAACACACAATGCATTCAAAAGAAGACCAATCTAAAAATCGAACAGCTCGTCCTCGAAAAGCGACGCTTACGTCGAGAATAGCAATGTCACAGATCGCCATCTGCTAACCAACGCTTAAAACATGCCTCACGTCAACTTGATCAAGCTCTACAGCAAAAAGAAACGTATGTCCACCGCTGCTACATAGAGCAATTGTCAACTAACAGTACAAAAGACTCACTATGGAGAGCTCACCCAACTATGAGCTCACGGAAAGCAACCGTGATTCCTATTAGAAATTCCACAGGCGGGTGGGCGCGCAGCGACGCAGGCAGAGCCAGCACGTTTGCCAAACACCTTAAAAATGTCTTCCAACCAAATCCTGCCACCAATGCGTTTACTTTGCCGACTCCATCATATGAGCCCCAGCCTCAACATGAGCCAATCGAGTTTCGCCCAAACGAAATCGTTAATATCATCAAAAGACAACTGAATCCGAAAAAATCCCCGGGCTGCGACCTCATAACTCCCAAAATGATCATTGAGCTCCCATACTGCGCCGTTTGCACTCTCACCCAGCTATTTAATGCCATCGCAAAACTTAGCCACTTTCCAGTGAGATGGAAAAAGTCAATTATAATAATGATAGCAAAGCCGGGGAAAGACCACACTATCCCCACGTCGTATAGACCTATAAGCCTACTCTCTTGCCTATCTAAACTCTTTGAAAAATGCCTAATGACTCGGATAAACACATACCTTAGAATCCAGGAAGGAATCCCGTCACACCAATTTGGGTTTCGTGAAAAGCATGGAACAATTGAGCAGGTCAACCGGATAACATCCGAAATTCGGAACGCGTTCGAAAAACGAGAGTACTGTACTGCCATATTTTTAAATGTCTCTCAAGCATTTGATAGAGTCTAGCTAGAAGGTCTAATGTACAAGATCAAGACAATGCTCCCCTACTGCACCCACAAGATTTTAGAGTCTTACCTTAACGACAGAAAATTTGTCGTGAGGTGCAACACTGCTATATCTGATGATTATACTGTTGGAGCTGGAGTTCCTCGAGGTAGCGTGCTAGGGCCAATATTATATGTCCTCTACATAGCAGACATCCCGACAAGCACACGTCTAACTACATCCACGTTTGCCGATGACACAGCTATTCTTAGCCGCTCAAAATTCCCGATTCAAGCAACTGCGCAGCTAGCTCTTCATATGGTCGATGTTGAAAAATGGCTGTCAGATTGGCGAATTAAAGTGAACGAACTAAAATGCAAGCACGTTACGTTCACTCTGAACAGGCAAAACTGCCCGCCGATTACATTAAACAACACTCTACTCCCACAAGCAAACGAAGTAACATACCTAGGAGTACATCTCGACAGAAGACTCACATGGCAAGGCTCCAAGAACTGGAGCGGGAACAAAGGAGGACACCAGAACTGACGACGTTAACAGACGCCTGAGTTCATAGCTCATCACAGAACCAGACAGAAGACAAATCGATTGCGCTTGATCCCAGGCAAAATCGCTTCCGACGCTCCACTCATGTGGAACTATCGATGCGTATCGTCTCCATACGCCAAGGACAGGGGACCCGGACGCGGGTACCAGGCGTGCTAACAGCACAAAACGGCTCCACCCCGTAGTAATGTTTGGATTTTAACCTCCTCCATAAAAAAAAAAAAAAAAAAAAAGAAGACTCACATGGCGCCGGCACATTGAAGCCAAAAGAACACACCTAAAGCTTAAAGCCAGCAGCCTTCATTGGCTTATCAACGCTCAAAGAGATGACCATCTCTTAGCCTTGAATATAAAGTCCTGCTGTACAACTCGGTCCTAAAACCTATATGGATGTACGGCTCCCAGTTATGGGGGAACGCCAGCAATAGCAACATTGACATTGTTCAAAGAGTTTAGTCGAAGATCTTGAGAACAATCACCGGGGCACCGTGGTACGTTCGCAACGAAAAGATACACCGCGACTTAAACATTCTACCAGTCAAAGAAGTGATCGCTGAACATAAGGTAAAGTACTTAACCAAGCTATCGGTGCACCCTAAGATCTAACAAGGTTGAGCAACCAATCACGCCTTCGTCGCAATGACTTACCCACCCATCGACCGACCTGAGGGACACGCAACCAGAGTGCAGTCTTAGTATACTGTTAGTTAAATTTTAATGTTAAGATTCGCCAACTTATTGTTAGTCTCAAAATTTAGAGTAGATTCAATAAATAAAAGCAAAGCTAAAAAAAAAAAAAAGTAAGAACAAATAAATAATTTAATAAATAGTGAGATAAATAATGGAATAAATAATGAAATAAGTAATGAAATAAATAATTAAATAACCAAATGACAAAATAAATAATGAGATAAATAATGGATAAATAACGAAATAAATAAATAAACCTGTTTTGTGTCGAGTGAGCTAGGTATTGCTGCAAGCCTGCATTGTTCGTAGGGGTTCTAACTTTGAAACACACGATATTTATTTTTAGTGTTTAACAAACTTTAATGCACAATATAATTCAATTAATTCACAATGATATATTTTGGGGGCTCGGTGGTCCAGCAGGTCGAGCGCTAGACTACGAGTCGGAAGGCCGGGGTTCGAATCCCAGGCTCCCCGAGAAACGCTAACTTAACATTAGTAACAAATTTCGGCTCCCCGGATCCGCACACCTTCCGTCCACTATGGACACAGCAATAGAACTTTCGTGTTAACTACCTAGTATACACACTCGAACAACAACAAGATCACTAGTAGAAAGCACGGTTTCTTAATCATTCTCGCCGCCGTAAGATGGCACACCAGTAGAAGCAGAAAAAGCTCCCCAGCCCCCATGGGTCTATTCTTCGCATTCCCCGCCAGATGGCGCTGCGATGCAAATATGCGCCAAATCGGCAACTCAGAGTTGCGACCACCACTAGGATAGGTCGCTTCTGGCCAATCACCAGCTCGACTGAAATCAATCCGATTACTGAATCCAACGCAAGATTACTAAACACAAACGGACCCCGTTCGATTGCGATTAGCGCAATTTGAAGGAGAAATGGACAAACTTCAGGTCACAATAGCGGGGATCAGTGAGATGAGATGGAGCGGCAGTGGGGCAACAATATTAGCAAATGGTAACCTAGTCCTGCACAGTGGTAATAATGAGGGAAGCAGATATGGAGTAGGGATATTCGTAGCCAGAAGAATGAAAGAAACGCTGAACCCTGGACCCCCATTTCAGACAAACTCATTAAAGCGACGTTTAGATGTAGGGCCAGACCAATAACAATCGTGCAGTGTTACTTCCCAACCGAAGACGCAAACGACGACATCAAAGACGACTTTTATACCGCCCTTATTACTACTCTCACTGACATACTTCGAGGAAACATCACCGTTCTCATGGGTGACTTCAATGCAAAAATAGGACCCAACTTTACCAGAATGAGATCAGCCACTGGGCGCCACGGTATAGGCACGCGTAATAACAATGGAGATAGACTAGTAGAAGTATGCCAAATGTTTCAGTTAATCATTGGGGGTAGTATGTTCCCACACAGAGACATCCACAAATACACGTGGACATCTCCAAGTGGAAATACACAAGCTGGACCGCAATCGCCTGCGAAATGCTGACGACTCAAGGAACCAACGCCCGTCCCCCCTCAACATACACCTACTTGGCGAAACGGGCATCAGCGCCAGGCTTGCATCAACATTACCCACCCACCTACTTCCGCAGCAACGCCAGACATGGGAACAGACGTGCGATACACTAAGGACCACCGCAGAAGGCATCATTGGCACTCAACAACGAAGAAGTAACTGGATCTCTAGCGCAACGTGGGACACGATCAACAAAAGGAACTCACTGAAATTACTGGCCGACCGTGACAGCAATAGACGCGACGAACACCGCGTTCTATGCAAAGCGGTCAAGAGAGCAACCAGAAATGATAAGAGAGTCCTACTGGATAGACTGGCAGATATTGCAGAACGCGCAGCAAATAAAAACAACATGCGATCACTATACCAGACAATTGAACAAATCTCAGGAGGCTATAGAAGAAAGAACCAGCCAGTCAAAGATTCCAAAGGAATACTTCTCACTAGCTACGACGACCAAAACCACAGGTGGCGCCAACACTTCATGGAAATCAGCAACTCCGACATGCCTAGCAGGAGCGATGACTACAGAAGCGTTGTGCCAGCAAATGGGAACCGGAGAATATCATCCGCCCCACCCACCGCGAGAGAAATCGGAAATGCAATAAAGAAGCTCAAGAACAACAAAGCTGCCGGGATGGATGGCATTCCAGCCGAAATCCTCCAAGTTGACACTCAACTGATTTTTTTTTTTTTTTTTTTGTATAGGGGGGAAAGCTTGAAGAGCCGAAGTGTGGGTCTTTCACCCACTAAAACCCTGAACCTACTCTCCGTTTTCCTCTCACGGCACAACCTCAGGGGGTTAACCTTGGGTATTACTTCATGAGGGGGGAGATGGCCTGAAAGCCGCAACTAGTAATTAAACTAGGTTTGAAGTCGATTGCGCTGACGTTCAGCGCGACGCATGTATTTCATGACAAAGACTGTCATTTTGCTTACGGCATCCCAATTGTTTTGTGAGCCCAGTAGCGTATCCATCAGGTCAGAGACCGTGAACGGCTTCCCAATCGCTAAGCTGAGCTCATGCCTTAAAGCTTCGAATCTCGGACAGACAAAGAATACATATTCTGCGTCTTCAATTGCCCCCGCACAGTGTGTGCAAAAGGGGTCCGTCTCGTGCCCAAACCTATGGAGATAGGATTTGAAGCACCCATGTCCTGTCAATAGTTGCGTCATGTAGAAGTCAACTTGTCCGTGCTTTCTTTCTGTCCAACGCTCCACCTCGGGCAGAAGTTTATATGTCCACCTACCTTTCGAGCTGCTACTCCATCGACTTTGCCACGCTGAGACCACGCGGGCGCTGGTCACCTCCATCGATGCATCTCCGCCGGTCCGTTCCTGGGCCTGATTTGCGAGCAGGTCCAGGGACGTCATGGCGGATAGGAACAGCGCACTTTCCTCTGAAACGGTCCGAAAGCCACAAATGACTCGGAGTGCGGCGCGTCTGTATGCCTCAACTGATGGCAGAAATATTGCATCCGCACTTCTCGAGGGCGTGGGAGAGCGAACACATTCCCGACTCCTGGAAATGCGAAGTCATAGTGAAAATACCCTAGAAAGGAGACCTTAGCGATTGCAACAACTGGAGAGGGATCACACTACTGAACACCAGTTACAAAGTCCTAGCCACAATATTGAACGAATGCCTGACGGAAAAATTCAAGCCTACACTAAGAGATGAACAGGCAGGCTTCAGACCACACAGGAGCTGTGTAGACCAAGCCAACACCCTACGCATCATAACCGAACAAGCTGTGGAATGGAGAGCACCACTGTACCTCCTGTTCATCGATTTCAAGAAGGCGTTCGATTCAATAAGTAGAGCAGCAATATGGGGATACCGGTGTCAAGCAAGGATGCCCATTATCCCCACTGCTCTTTAACATTGTGGTGGACGAGGTCATGAGAGAAGTGTGCAAACACAAACGTAGAATCACATGGAGCTTCACCTGACACCTTGAAGACTTGGACTACGCAGACGACATCTGCCTAATCTCTCACAAACTGAGTGATATTCAATCCAAAGTTGATGACCTCGTGAACCTAGCCAGTCGTGTGGGTCTACAAATTAACACGGCAAGACAAAAGCGATGTGCCTCAATCACGCCAGCCAAGGAAATATCATCGTAGATGGAAACCCAATAGAATACATCGAGAGTTTCCCATACCCTGGCACCGTAATCTCCAACAACGGTGGCGTGACAGAAGATGTGACGAGTAGGCTAGTCATAGCCAGGTCTGCCTTCGGGAGACTCTACCGCATATGGAGAAGCCGTCAAATAAGCAGAAAAACAAAGATACGGATCTTCAACTCATGCGTAAAATCCGTCCTACTATACGGAAGCGAGACTTGGCTCACAACAAAGATAATAATCCAGCAATTGCAGGCATTCACCAACGAGTGTCTCAGAATAATATGCGGGATTTTCTGGCCAAACAGAATCTCCAACATAGACCTCTGGAATATGACGGGTGAAACAGCAATAAGACTCCAAATCAGGAAGAAAAAATGGAGATGGATAGGCCACTCTCTGCGAAAGGACCAGGAAAGCATAGTTAGGATGGCACTAGAGTGGAACCCACAGGGAAGCAGACGAGTAGGCAGGCCTAAAACAACATGGAGAAGAACAGCCCTTCAAGAACTGTCCCAAAGGAATCTAATCGAGGCCCTATGCTCCCAGGAGGAGTTATAAAGGGAAAAAAAAATATAATGAAAATGAGATATGTCGCGTAGATCTGCTCCGGCGTTCAATCGACCGACTCTTAGACTTGACTTTTTGCTAATGATTAATGGTGGTCCTCTCTCAGAGAGGAGACATCGCCGCTTTTTGCGATGTAGGAAACAGAACATGCCGCCCGCAATGCTGGAACAGCATGATGATCGCTCTCGATGTTTCTGGTCGTCGTGGGTAAGGGTCCCATTGCTTCCCTCGGATACGTCTTATCTGAAAACATTGGAAAGATACGTGCATATGGAAATACGAGACAATGTAATAAGTGAGAGTGTGCATGGTTATCCCGCGATTGGTAACCGACATAGCTTAGTGACAGATCGCTTTAATTGGCCATGCTTGGTTTTGAGTTTCACCACACGGACTAGGTTGTCTTCTCCTGGGTGCAATTCCAAAATCCGTCCGAGGATCCATTGTGTTGGCAGAGTTCTGTCGTCCTTTATTATAACCAAATCGTTAATCTGCAGATTGGGATGCTCCTGATACCACTTTGGTCGTTTCTGGAGATGAGCTAACCAATCTTGAGACCACTGCTTCCAAAAGAGATGTATTATTTTTTGCTGATTTAAAAATTGTTCCCGAAATGATGTGGTTGACATTTTGGCGGTGCAAACATAGCATCTCCTATTAAGAAGTTTGCTGGTGTAAGTCCATTAAGGTCGTCAGGGACTGCTGTGAGTGGGCAGAGTGGCCACGAATTGAGACAAGACTCGATCCTAATCAGGACAGTGGATAACTCTTCATAAGTAAGGCGTGTGTTGACTACGACTCGCTTCAGATGATGCTTGACTGATTTAATGTTCGCTTCCCAAAGTCCTCCGAAATTGGGAGAGTGCGGAGGGTTGAAGTGCCACTGTATACTATGGATAGCCAGCTTTGGGGCGACTAAAGATTTGAAGTCCGATTTTAGCTTGTCGTAGGCAAGCTGGAGTGACTCTCAAAGACTACGACTCGCTTCAGATGATGCTTGACTGATTTAATGTTCGCTTCCCAAAGTCCTCCGAAATTGGGAGAGTGCGGAGGGTTGAAGTGCCACTGTATACTATGGATAGCCAGCTTTGGGGCGACTACAGACTTAAAGTCCGATTTTAACTTGTCGTAGGCAAGCTGGAGTGTCTCTCAAAGACCTCGACGTCCAGTGAAGCGATCTAGTGCCCATATAAAATGTTCTGCTGTGAGCCCAGTGACTGCCTCCAAGTGGATAGCTTTGGTTGCCAGGCAAATAAAAATGGCGATGTATCCTTTTTAATAGCTCGTTCCGCGCATACGAGCAGCCTTAATCTCGATTGCACCTGTGTAGTCCACCCCTGTTGTCCAGAAGGGCCGATTCGGCGGAGTGATCCGATGTTGCGGTAGGTCTCCCATTAATTCGGTTCCGATGGATGGCTTTGTCACGATTTGTCTGCCGTTGATAATCCAGAACCGATGTCGGGTGTGAGCCAATGTTAATTGTGCTCCTCCGTGAAGCGTCATTTAATGCAAAAACTTGATGAGTAATTCTGTAAGAAACTGCGATTTAGGTAAAATAATCGGATGTTTTCGATGATAAGGTAGATTTGAGTTCTGTAAGTGTCCACGAATTCGTAAGATACCGTCAAGCAAGAACAGAGTTAGATTTGCTCTCTTACTGTTCTTGACGATTTGTCTGGAAGATCGTAAGACGCGTATTTCTTCGGGAAAAGATTCCGCTTGAACAATCCGAACCAGGCAAAATAATGCTGCATTTAATTCGTGGATAGAAAGGAGACCAGTTTGTCGAGAGGAGCTGTTGCGCGCGTTGTTGTAGACTCGTAGCATGCATGCAGTTACGCGAAGTAGTTTTGGATAGGAAGAAAAACGATGAATAAATGTTTGCTGACGTGCAGATATGAACACATTTATTTTGTTAGTCTTGGCTTCTAACGTCGCTTCATCGGCTGCATGTTGTTTAAAGTTGATTGTAGGCCATTCATCTGAAAGTCTGCTGAGCCAAGACGGTCCGCGCCACCACAAATGAAATTTGGCCAGATCCATTGGTGTTAATCCTCGGGTTGCACAGTCTGCAGGAGGAGCCGTCGCAAAATGCGTGCAATTGAATTGACGATATATTTGTTGTCGTAAATCGTAGCCAACGAGGTGTGGTGATGCAATCGATATGTTGCATCGACGTACGAAAAGCTTTCCAACGTAGTGCTAATTCTTCGGGAACTGGATCGTCCCAACCTAGTTTAACAGGCTGGGTATTAATTATGTATACTAACTTATATTATTGATATCATTATTTTATATTATTAGATTATATTGTAAGCGTTGGTCACACTTCTGATCTCTCGAGAGAGGATGTGCTCTCTCGAGAGAGTAAGAAGTTAAGCATAAACGGGGGTTGAAAGTTAGCTGCCTGCGAGCAGCGAGTTGAGTTCGTATTGAATGTTGTAAGAGAACAGAATAAATAAGATCCTGATACAATCTCAGAAGTGGGATACGGAAGAAAAAAAAAAAAATAAATTAAAGACTAAAGTTCAAATTTAAATTTATAAAAACAAAATATAATGGATTTGCAAATTAATGATGTGTCGGTGACTCAGTTTTGGTGGTTAGAACTCCTCAATTTGCCAACAACCGGATCCAAGGCGGAACTTTTTTCGCGAGTGGTTGCTATTCCACCGGAAAACCGAGGCAAGATTCCCCAAGCGATCCAGGAGGAAGAAGAAATACTGGACATGGAGTCAACAAATTCGGAGGACGAAAGCTTGGAGCAGCAAAATTCGGTGCAGCTAGCTAGTGGTTTGGAATCCGTGGAAGAGGTGCGCCTAGAACTGGAGAAGACACAGAAACTTCTAGAAGTGCTGCAGCGGCAGATCGACGGCGCCAAAGCCAACGGTTCGTCGAATTTGGGCAGCAAGATCGAGCGCAATACCGAGAAAAGCAACGGTTCTGCGAAGAGTGGCGTGAATAAAGAACAAAGCGACGAGACGGTCGGCGCCAGCAACGTTGTCTGCGGCAGTGTTGTGCAGGAAAATTCTCGTGAACTTGTGGCGCAGCTGCCAAATGCTGATAGCAGTTTCTCGTCGGCTGGATTTAATTTAGCCAAAGAAATGCTGATGGAGTTTGCGGACAACATGCCGGTTCGATCCTGGATTTCTCAATGGGACAACATATCATCGTTGTAAAATTTGACTGACGCGCAGCGAAGAGTTTTGATGATCAGCAAACTAAAAGGCAGCGCCTTACAATGGATGCATGCTGATGCATCTCGCTTCGTCAAACCAACAAATGAGTTGCTGCAGCAGTTACACCTTGCTTTCGGTGGCAACGAATCAAAGGCGGTTATGAGGCGCAAATTCGAGGCGCGCGTATGGCAACCGAATGAGAAGTTTGCTGTCTACTTTGAGGAGAAGAGCAGATTAGCCAGAGAGGTCAACATGGAGGACGACGAGCTCGTGGATGGACTTATCGTGGGCATTCCTACGGTTGCGCACTCAGGCGAAGCTGCAGTGTTTCGAAAGTTCGGGGAGAATGATGAGAGCGTTTGCGGATATAATGCTGCCAGGGAAAATTACTGGAAACAACAGGATGCAAACAACGAAGACGGATCTGGTGAGCAAAGACACGCGCTGCTACAATTGCAATGGGAAGGGGCATTGGGCCAGGGAGTGCGTTAAG